TATTATTTGGTATTCAAATCGATTTCAGCTATTTCGTTGAAGTTTTAAGAGCACTATTTGCAATTATTTTAAAGAGTCTTAATAGTAATCTTCATGACTGCAGGCAAAATGATAGAAATATTGAAACACTTATAAATTTTCAAATTGAAAAACAAAATGTATGTAGTGGGGAATACATTTTCGGAACATCAAATTTATGATTGCAATTAAAAATATATAAAATAATGGGTGCTGTCATATAAGGGTTATGAAAAAGTGGTTCTATTTTAAAACTTGAAAATTGTAAAAATATTTTTCTCAGACAATTGTTAATCAATTTATATTTTCTTACCAAAACCGCTTTAAAATTTATTTATTTTGAAATCTCTAACCACATTTTTCACCCGAAGTAGCGGTTAATTTATATTCCGGATTTTTATACATTTTAACTGAAAACGTGGATTATACATTTATGTTTTAAATAAATAAAATTCAATATAAAAGTTAATAAAACCCCATTCAAATTTTCGTTATTTTGAAGTTTTTTCTGTATTTCCTAAAACCATCTCCTCTGAAAATTGTAATCGTCCCTCAAAGCCCCCTTTGTCCCATAAATAGTCCACGAATGTAGATTTAAGATCGTATATATGGTTGCAAGCGGAGTCTTGATATTCTCATATATATTTGCTATAAGAAATCCGCAATCGATTTAGATTTTGGGTTTCGATAATGTAATTACATTCTACATCTTCTTATTGCCAATTATTTTAATTTTATTACAACAAATTGCTATCAATTATAGACACCACTGTTCCGTACATGTATGATAGAGCCAATCTATAGAAATAAAAAGAAAAACATCAGTTGAACTTCTTTTGAGCACAATTTCATTTAATGCAAAGCCATTTGCTTCGATTGCATTGTCAATAACACAGCTGCAGAGCGTATTACGCAGACATACTCGAATGTACAAACACCACTTTGAAATGCACATCGATTTCTTAGCCTTCTAAAATAAAATTCAACGCACACACACATACATAGCATCCATTTGTTGTAATGAGCATTTGGGTGTGAGTGTGCGAACACGCAAACACTAATATAAAAATCAAAAAAGAAGAAAAGAAAAGCATACAAGTTGAAAGTGAACGTATGAATTCGGCATTTAGGTGATTGTGTGAATGACAAAGACAGGCCGGGCTTGCAGGCTGGCAAGCAGGCATGCAGTCAGCTAGCTACCAGCGCACGTTCACCATTGTAATGTGCAGTGTTTTGTCTCACTCACGAACCAACCAAGAAAATTGGCCACGAATATAAAGAACTTTTCATCTTTTCGAGCGAACAATTTCTCATTTTGCTTAAAAAGGAACACTTTTGCCTTCTATGCGAAGGCGATCACGAAATGTATTGTTTGGCCTTCTTTCATTCAACAGCTTGCTGCTTGTTTTGCCAGCCAACACGCAAAGCTGAATAAGGAGATTTTGAAAGATTGCACAATAATTTGAAATAACTTTTTGAAAAATTGCAAAGTTACAAAGTGAGTTTTGGGTCAATGTGTGTGTGTGTTTCTTAACTTGTGTTTGAGAATGAATGGATTCTCTGCCTTCCTTCAGATATATCGATTAATGATTACATGAAAATAAGCAAATGTTCCTGAAAAGAAAGGCTTTAAATAATAAAATCTTATTTCAAGTTTTAGTAAATATATATAAAATGTTTCAATTAAATTTATTCTAATAAAGGACCTCCAAAAAACTTGGAATATATACAAACATCTGACAGTTCTTATTTTTGGGAACACATTTCAAAATTGTTAAGAAATCCCCGAATACTATAACAAATAATAATATTTGAAATTTCTACACACATAGTAGGAGTCTAGTGCCACATAACTCTTATGAATTGTGATAGCATTTTCCCCTTTTAAAATCCACAAAAAATAAAACTTCTCAAATGGATCTAAAATTTGGCAAATATCATAAATAACTTCCTATATAACGATACATATATATATACAAATGGAAAAGACACATATACAGATACATACATCTCAGCCATAAATAATAAACGTTTTCTCAAGAAAAACTTCCAGCTTTTTTTGTTAGGCATCATAGCAATCAAAGTCAAATAACATTTACGTTGTTTATACACGCAAACGCAATAAACATAAATTTAACACAACAAACCCAACAGCAACAACAATATAGACATGAACAAAAGTTATCATCACCCACATTTCCATCAATAAATTGCGGAAGAAGTTGGCTAAAAATACAATTCGCAATAGGGAATTATTTTGAAAAATAAATATTTGAATGGGCTGTGAAATAAATAATGCAAATTCTTTTGATATATGTTTAGGAAAATGGTTATGGTTATGAAACGCATATGCGGTAACTTTTGTGTGTGTGTGTGTGTTTTTTCATATAAAAGTCAATGACCATAAAACAAGGGCACAAATACATATATACATACCTAATTTCCGGGAAGTTATAAGAACAATCAATAATAAGTTTCTTTCTTCAATTCTCGGCAGTTTCTAAGAAATTTCATAGTGTATCAATAAATTGTGTTTGTCAGTTTTTATTGGATAAACATGGAGGAATGGATCAGATCCGTGCATTTTTCAAATGTTGGAATGTCGTAAGGTGGCAACCGCGTAATGACCTACTCTTGATTTTTTAACTTTGCGCTTAGCTAAATTTCGACACAAATTGTCGGTCAGCAAAATACTATTTGGAGAAAAAGACATCCATTGGTAAATGATCGAAGTTGGCCGTAATGTTAGGAGGGATCGAATTTGCATCTGCGAAGTATTGGCCAAACAGAATGAGATACATCCATTTCTGAAACGGATGGTGACTGAAGATGAGAAATGGATCACATACGATAACCCTGTGCGAAAACGATCTTGGTCAAAGAGCGATGAAGCACCTCAAACGGTGGCCAAACCAGGACGGCCAGGAAGGTTCTGCTATGCATTTGGTGGGACTGGAAGGGGATTATTTATTGCGAGTTCCTTCCAAATCCAAACGCTAAATTCTGTTATCTACTGTCAACAACTGGACCGTTAGAAGATAGCAAATGACCAGAAATGACCAGAATGGGCCAACAGGAGAGGTTTCTTGTTCCACAAGAACAACCCCATGACACACACATATAAAGTGACTCGCTAAAAACTTTGGGAGTTTAGTTGGGAAGTTCTAGAGCATCCACCACACAGTTCCAACGATTGGTGCCAACGATTATCACATTTTTATTATTGCAAAAATTTCTTTAATGATAAAAAATCGGCTATCATTTGATCATAACGCTCCGGTTTGATGGTGGTAGCACCCCTATGATGTTCGGTATTGCAAATGGGACATATTGGTCCACATTTTGGTGTATCCACCATATAACGGTAACCCCCAATACACAGTCTTTTGGGGACTTTGGACACGTTTCCCAACCGAATTGGTGGAACTTGGCGTATTTTAGGTTCTCATTGTAAGGTCATATCCGTACCAAACATTTTTTAATATTGGTTATTTTTAATAAATGTTGGGATTTTGGACACTCTTTCCAAACGATTTGGCTGTAGTTTAGTGGTTTTGGGTTCTCATTGAATAACAATTATGCGTACCAAAGAATATTAATATTAACCCAAGTTTCAGGGTATCCCCTATATTCGTTATTTTGGGGTTTTGGGCTCGTTTTTTCACCGAATTGGCTGTAATTTGATATTATGGGTTTGGGTTCTGTTTGAATGATGTCGAACTCCAGCCATTATTATTATCGTGAATTTACTCTCGTTTATTAATTTCAACCAAATATTCGAAATATATAGACATCCTACCACGCAGTGATGTCTTTATGTTATTTTAATAATCCTCTCTCCATATGTATATCAACAGGTATTTTATATCATTAGGCCTCCAATAAAGCAATATCCTTGTTCGGTCAGTTGAAGGGCTTTATTCATCAAATATGTTCATTGACAAGTAAAAACCAATGAAGCCAGATGAAGACAATGTCACACAAGTAACAAATTGGAATTACATCGTGAATGGAAAATAAAGGATAAAACCTTTATATATGTAAAGAATTGAAGGAGATACACGTATATGTAAAACGGCATAGTTACAAATATATAAAAATAATATATAATATTATCAAGCTAATACTTCGTTTGAAAATATCCGGTCAGTATACCGAACCTTTTGTTTTTTTGTTCATAAAAATCATTGAATGTACCTAAGAATTTTATTTGCATTCTATTAATTAACTCCCTCTAAGTAAACATTTTATTTAATGGTCACATAAAAAGACAGCTTTTAACAATGTTATGCTTTGTTTTGCATTAAACAAATATAATTATAATATTATAATATAATTAGCATATATAATTGTATATATGTGCAGTATCCTAATTGAACAATAAAACCTCGAATGAACATTCGTGCTACGTCGAACTCAAAATGTGTTAAATGTGTTCTTTACAGATTAATATGTTTCCACTGTTTATAAAAAAAAATTAAATATTACGATCAAACAAAAAATCTACTGACTTTGACAGATGGAATAACAAATGAAGACAAACAAAAAAGTCCTTCATTGACATAAATGTGGAAGGGTCAGAAAACAATAAGACTTTTGATATCTAAATTCCTATCCTAATTGACAGCTGACATTTTTTAATCAAATGGCCAAAGCCAAATAGAAATGCCAAATAAAACAACAAATATTCATAGCAAACCAAAAAAAAAAAAAAAAGAATAACACAACATTAATTAATGCCCTTTAAGTTAGACGGACAACTTTATCTCTCTTTTCCATCAGTCTGTCTGGCAGTGTTTGCCTATCTTGAGTATTTATCCATGGGCCTAGAAAACTACAAACATAGTTTAGAATCTACATACATACGCTAAAATATGGACAATTTATTTAGTAGGGGATGGTCTGGACAGGCAGTTGTTTAAACGATTTTTATCACTTACAGTCCTTAATTTATTTTCTCTTTGTTTCCAACATCTTTGCAGTGGCCTCAAGAGATTCTTCAGCCAGCAGTGGTTCATCATCGTCGTCATCAAGTAGCAGTGGCAGCAATGGTGGTGCCAGTGGCAGTTCATCGTCATCATCATCGTCGTCCTCTTCGCAAGCCAAACTGCCCGTCATGGTATTCGTTCACGGTGAATCGTATGAATGGAATAGCGGTAATCCCTATGACGGTTCGGTACTGGCCAGTTTCGGTCAGATGCTAGTGGTGACGATAAACTACAGATTGGGACTGTTAGGTAAGTGTTCTTGTTTTTATTGTACTTGTCACTGATGGTGACACGATTTTGCCTTGATTAAGATTGTGGTTAAGAGTTATTTCAATACATTTAGCTGGTATTACTTATACGGCAGGGAAATCGAAATGAGTCAGCAAATTGCTGATTGATGAAATCTCATATGAAATGGTATTAATAACTCAAGTTGGTAATATATATGCACGTATATAGAAATAAATGTGTATTTTTTATACTAAAAGTACATCTATAGGAATATTTTGTTACTAGTTGTTGCTATTGAATAAAATGTGCATGTGTATTAATATAGTTTTTTGAAGAGAAATATATAGAATAGACATTGTGCAGATATAAAAACCATTTTTTGTATATTCCTCATAACATGATCCAGACCGTGGACCATTCCAGTTTTTTGTTTTATTCAAGATTACCTTATATCGCAATATTTTTTATAAATATAAACATTATTTCATAGGTAATATTTTAATAGTAGAGATTTCCTGACGCATTCTTACAAAATCTTTGGTGCCAACAGTTGAACTAGAAAAGGTATATGTTGGGATCTACATTGATCTAGGATTATAATTTTTCGAAACAGTAAAAATTGTAGACGATATACGATATATTTTAAAAAATAAAACATCCCTTCTCCAAAAGCTTACACCCAATGCTATAAATTATTTCCACATGAGAATTCTCAAACACTTATGGGCGTACATAAATAAATGTAAATATATAAATTTCCACCGCGGCCGATAATACCCACATTTTCTCCACATTTACTAACCACATTTTCCCACTTTCTTATTTTTGCTACAGGTTTCCTTAATGCCAATACCGACCGTTACTCAAAATTGCCAGCAAATTATGGTTTAATGGATATTATTGCTGCCCTGCATTGGCTTAAGGAGAATATTGCCTCATTTGGTGGCGACCCGCAAAGTATTACACTGGCTGGCCATGGCACCGGTGCAGCTTGTGTACATTTTCTCATATCATCCATGGCTGTGCCAGAAGGTATGTATCGTATGCCTACGGCTACAAATCAGAGGATATGATTTTCCTATTAAAATATATTTCCTTATATGCTGTTTTGCATATTTGACTTTCGGTTTGTCGGTCCGTTTGGTTTGGTGGTTTGAACTTACACCATAATTGTTTTTGTGATTATTTTTTTCTCATTTTTTTGGCAATTTCACACCAGGTTTACTATTCAATCGAGCCATACTAATGTCAGGTTCGGGCTTAGCACCGTGGTCGTTAGTCAGTAATCCTGCCAAATATGCTGCCATTGTGGCCCATCATGTAAACTGTGCACCGGATTTGCCGCATGCCCATTTCATGAAGTGTTTACGTGAAAAACCTCTGGACCAGTTGTTAAGTGTACCAATTAGACAGCCAGAATTCGGTTTTGCATTTGGCCCCAGCATAGACGGAGTGGTTATCGATGGTGGTGACTATGTGCCACCGCCACCAAATTATATGCACGCCCAGGCATCAACGTCAGCAGGCAGTGGTTTGGGTGGTGAGGCTGGCAACGCTGCCCATGGTGGTTGGGGTACACCGGGACAATTGGAGAATATTGGTAAGTCACACCATCAAAGGGGAAATAAATTAAAAACTTTAATGACAACTGTTTATTAATATTTATATATGATTTTCTTCTCACAATTTTTATTTTCATTTAATCTGTGAAAATGTTTGATTGCCAAATTGTGAACCTCTACACCATTAATTACATAGTATTAATGAGGAAAACAGCCATTAACAAGTTATCAAGGTAAGACTAAACCACTTTCTTTTATAATTATCCAACACCATGTTCATGTTGTTATATTTGTGAAGAATGTTCTTTGGTGGTCATTACCTAATTTCGTAAGAGGTAATTTCCAAAACCAAAGACAAATATTTACCGCCACCGTTTATAAATTTCTATATAATTATGAAAAATTCCTTTCGATTTTTTTGTTAATATTTTTTGTGCACCAGATTTTAAAGTGTTGCAAATGAAAATGAAGACTTCTTGACGGTTAAATATCCTAATTGATATAAATTATCTTAGAATTTTTGGAGATTTATCTTAATTGAGTGCTGTAAATTCCAGCATTTCATAAATATGAACATCATTAATTATTTCGTGAGCAGTGTTGTTTATTAAGGCTAAAAGAAAATTGAAATATACTTTTGAAAAATAACACAGAGAAGAACGTGAAAATTGTAGTATTGTGTTGGTGGGTGGACGATAAAAAATTACAATGTTGAGTCAAATTTATCGGGATAATTTTTGGTAATTGCAAAAAAAAACATTTACATTTATATAATACATACTGTCAATTGGTAACAACTCCCTAAGATCAATGTTTTTTAACCTTAAATTATAGAAAATTCTAATCACATCTAAAACTTTTCCCTCCTCAACTTCTCATCAAATGTCTTCCATTAATTATATCACAAACCTCCTCGGCGATTAATTACAATTATGACATTATTTTGAAGTAATCTTTCAAATGCAGTGCACAATCCATTTGTAGTGGGTCAAGATTAAATTAAAATGTTCCAACTATCATGTCATCTAATTTGTTGCCATATATCATCATCAACGCCGCTGAGTGTGTGCTTGTGTGTTTGTATGTTACCATGACATTCTTCTTTGCGGTGAAATGTTCAACATTTCACTTAATTAATTAAAAATATTAATTTAACGGCAGCACTTGCCACCGAAAATTATTTTTCTTTAACGAAGTGCATGCGCCCGGTTAACAAAATTATGTCAAGTATGTTGCACTTTATGCCGTTGTTGTTGCTGTTGTTGCTACAGGTAGGGTCCAACATGTTCTATCGTCATTAATCTAAATCAACATGTGTGTATAAGAGGGCTCTTTGAAAACAGTGTATATGTGTGAGGGTGGCTGTGTGTGTGAGAGAGCGAGAGATGTTATTTGTAAAGGGTTTCAACCACTAAAGGACATAAACATAGAATGCTCCCCTCTACAAGACCATAAGTTCATAGCATGTAATGCTGTGATATAAGCAGACATACATATACATAATTATATTTGGTTGGCTGTAATCTAATGGAAAATAAATATATATATAGGACTCAAATCCAATTATAAAGAATGAATATAATACATGTGAGTGACAATATGAAGGGGATTTTCCTTAAATGTTTGCTAAATTTCAGCCGCTGCAGTTTTTATTTGATACAAAAAAATTATCATAGACCTTTGGCCCATTCTAATACATCTTACAATGTCTTTTCCTGCTTAGCATGGGACACGGTCAAAATTGAAGTAATAATTTTTGTGATGCTCCCATCTCTCTCACTTGTGAGAAACTTCTCATTTTACCTTTTCTGTAGTACAAATAACTAATATTGATATTTATTATCGGATCCACCTAATACAACAGCAACATAAGCACATCAGGTAATAGGTCAACATAGCACAATGTGCGTGTTTATGTGCTTGTATGTGGTTTATTGCTCTTTTATATATAATTAGTTATGCTATAATTAATATAAACTAAACCCCACCAAAAATAATTAATTGATTCTATAAATTTTCCCGAGCAACACTAAAACCATGATTGTAATAACATTGCTTGTCCAATTATGTCCATGTTCACCTCTAATCAGCAGCAAATTATGACAGGGGTTGTTGGCATGTTTGTATATTTGCACATTGTAGAAAAAATATGTAATCTTAAATCTAAATACGGTAAAGGCACGTAACAAACATAATTTTCAAAAAATAAAACATTTTTGATGGAGGCCACAAGTTTATGCTTCTGCGGAAAATAACAGTGTTAAAGTTGAAGTAGATTTTATTTCGAAATGTCATTGGGCGTATTTGAATAAATAAATACAATTTTTCTATTTTTCTACTTCGTTTTCTTGATGAATTTTCATCAAGTTACATATTCAAAATTGTAGAAATTTCGGCTTAATGCACATATATTAGACATTGAAAGTGAAATCGTTCCTACAGGATACATTTTTATGGATTTAATAGATATGTGAACATTTTATAATGGATATGAATAAAAAATATAAATGGAAAATACCTTCAACTCATAGAATATCTCCCAATAAGTACGGAATAAAGATATGCTATAGAAATAAGAAGTCTAATATAGTCACTTCATTATTATTCTTTCACTACAAACATAGTTATGTGACTTCTGGAGCTTATAGTGCGTGGGAAACATGTGCATTTGTCGATCTTGTCATTTCGGTTTTTTAATCTTCATTTATTTTCATTTCATTTAACTTTTATCAAATAATTGTATAAACATACATTTCAAATACGCTCCCCATGTTCACTGCCATCCTGCCGTATTATCCAAAATTAAACATAATTTTTACATATGTTCACCCAAACCTAATAACCCATCAAACACAAATGTCCTTTTATCTTTACATCCACTCTTATTTCATTTCCGGCCCTTAATATTAAAGACAATCTAATTATGGCTAAAAGTCTATGATAATATAAATAACTTTAGCAGGCTCCCTTAAAACATATGGACTTCAAAGATGATTACCGGCCTTGCTGCAATCCTCAAATATCGAAACTAGAAAGTATTTGGAAATTGTTTTCCAGTTGCTGTGCGCTTCTGGCTTTTCTAAAGATTAACATAATTTTCTAAAGCTTTCAATGTCGGCATCACTACATTTACCATAACTACTTAAAACCTATTTCAGTGTAGCGTAAATACATACACATGCACATGTTGTGTAGGTATGTAGATATCCTTGAAACGAAACTTGTACACGTGTACATTAAAAGATTTTATTGCTTCGCCTAGCTAGCTGGCTGGCTGAAAGCCTTGTGATTTAGATTTGCTTTTGCATATTCAAAATTTCGGAGTTGGCACAAATGCGGTTCGTTGTGACTGGGAATGAGATTGTAGCCACCAGCAGCAGTGGCATTGCCTTCATGTTTCTTTAATTACACAAAATGTAATTTATTAAATACGATGATGTCATGTTAATCTGTTTTTAGCAGGTAATGAACAATGCTATAACATGCCTATGAAAACAAACACACGCACAGGCACCGATATATACAAATTCATTTCATCAGTGATACATGCAGTCACATACATACATACATGTTACACATAATCATAGTAGGGAATAGACCAACTTCCTTTTTGCACCACCCCACGTTGTTGGGTTTCTTGTCTTGGCTGCTCGAAATCGTTGAAGTCGTTGTGATTGGTTATTTTGTCCGGATTAATTGAATACATGTCGCCGACATGAAGCTACTAAATTGACTTTCCACAAGTACCAAACTTCTGTGGGAGAGATAATTAGATTTGAATGAGTCAGCTAAGTGGGTTCGTGATGATAATTTACATGTTCCTCGTCAGCCACTCCGTTGTACCAGACTAGTATCTGCATAATATGCCGTTAGCTTTTATTTTCTATTCATGAGAGGTATTTAGTCATTGGCTAAGATGACAATGATTAAGCAGGATGGTATGATTTTTGGTAGTCGTATTACTTGATGAATCTGGTGTGCTTGGGGGTAATTAATTCTTCATAATGTATGTATGTGTGAATGTACATACGTGTATGTGTTGTAAGGAGCAGGATATAAATTTAATTAATTTTGAAAATCTTGAACAAACCACAATTATATTTAACCAATACTACAATGCTAAGAAATACAAAATACTATTTTTTCCAATCTTATGAGATACTCATAGCATGCACCAAGGATTTACAAAGAAAAATCAGCATTAATTTCAACCGGACGTAATTGCTATTCCCCCTACATCTTTTAAAATGTTGTATTTTTAACATGAACGATCGTGTGGGACTGGGCTTAATGTTTATACCAGATATTTCCTATTGAAAACATTTTCACTTTTATCACTCTGATTATTACATTTTTTATTGAAAAATGGCTAAGGATTCGATTTGAATTTTATGATTATTTTTATAGAAAATACCTTATTATTCCCAAATTTGTCAGGTTTATCCATTTCAATGTACAAAACTTACAAAATGCCAGCTATTTAAGTTCAAAGGAATTTTATTGTAAAAATATGTAAAAAGGTCACAAGTAGACCAGATGCATTGGCCCAAATGTTAAATGGAAACAATGTGAAGTTGCTATAAAATAGGAAACAATGACGGACATTTCAAATGTACATCCCCTTGTCCACCCCGCGCCATTGGTCATAACAGAAAAAAATGCCAGCATACATAAACTCCACACAATCTGAAAGAACCGGGAACTGCTTACCTCCTGTACGTAGTTATATTATTCCAGACTATGAGCTTTCATGTGTTTTTTGCTGTTGTCGTTTTCGGTTAGAGTAAATTTGACCATAGAACCAAAACCCCTACCCGTCCCAAGGCGAATTGTTATACATTTAAGTTTATGTTTGAGGTTGAGTGATTTGCTGGTATCTGGGCTACCATCACAATGAACTGGGAGTTTTGTGTGAGTCTGTAGATGGTAGTGGTGTTGATGGTAGTATCAACAGCAAAAAATATCTTGCTGGGGTGAACAATTGCAGGAGAAGTAGTAAAAAATAAATTGCCGTTACAAAAACTATTATTTGTGACAAAGGAAACCTAACTATGCGTAGTAGAAAGCTTGTCGTTGAGCTCCTTTTCTAGATATCTAAAATATTTATTTGTGTATGTGTGTTTGTGAGTTTTTTTGTGTTTACTAAGGTATTTTTGGTGTATGTGTGTTAAAATAAATGTCCTTGTTGTTCGGGTGGGGGGAAACTGGTGGTGGTCCAAGCATAGTTAAAGCAATATGATGACTTATTTCTGAAAAGAGTCATTCTTCTTTTGTGAAAACGACACCACACACACATACACACATATAAACTATAGATTCGTTATATATGTATTTGTGTGTGCATTTTTCTATAAAAAGAACAAAGATACTTAAAATGACAAGTCCTCAGAAAATGGGAAATTCGAACAACCAGAGAAAAAGGCAACCAATTGTTAATGACACTTCCGAAAAAAGGGTATACGGAACACCAGTTCGACCAAGTCTCTTGACACAAGCTCACAAAATTCATAAATAACTTTTCTACGAGCAACAGCAACAAAATACAACAACAACAGCAAAAACTAATGTAACGAATATGAGACACAATAAAAACTGTAGATAAATAAATGACTAAAAAATGGTGCAGTAGGGTAAAATTGTGTCCTGATTTCCAACAAAAGTTGCATGAAAGGGAAAACTTTTGTTCAGTTTTTCTATTTTTTTCTGCCCTGAGTTTATAAAATTGCTAATAGTAGTTTTGTGAAAATTCATAAAGAACTGAAAATAACTCGAAAGTATTTAAAAAAAAAAGTTTTTTAGGAAAAGAATTTGTTATAAAGAGAAATTGTTACGAATTTAAATGGAAATAATCAGCAGACTGATTTTAGAACTTAGGAAAAATTTGTTTATATATGAACAAGCGTTGCTTCTGCGGGATGTGTTGTAGAATGCGAACTTTAACATTACAAAAAATAAATTCCACAATTTGATCCCTTTCATGGGATATATTATTTGAGCATTTTGTTGATAACTAATCTATACAGTTTTCCATTCTCTCAAAGGCTTGAAATATAGTCGTACTCGGATAAAAATGGACACACACCCATTGGGCGTACAATTTAGACCAAAATCAATTGCAAACATTTTGATAATCATTAAAAATACCAAATCCTGTGATGTACCTTAATTATAAAATTTTTATAGTACATTTTTGATAGTTTTCCATATATTGCAAACCCCTTCTGAAAGTTCGTTATCGATTACAATAAATATTTATGGATATTGTATTCCCAAAATCAATCTCATATTTTACTAAATTAACTAAAAATCCTAAATGCATGTCCTTTTTGCCTCGCAAAAGATTTTGCTAGGCGCCCATCAATTCTATTGCAAATGGAATTGCAGTAACAGTAAAAATATCAAATTTATTTCCTCACATCACATTTCGTCCTTTTGAAGCTCATGAAACTTTGTAAAAATGAAATGACCGAGAAATTGATATAATCAGTTTTATATTCATCCGCATAATAAAATTACAAACATACAATGCTTTCATTTGTATTCCCATTGACTTCGATGTTCTTCTAAAATTGCCTTTGTTTGGCTGAGGGGTGTTTAGGGTATTGTAGAGAAATTTTAGATATTCCGCAAATACACCGCAATACAACAACAGCAACAACAGTCTTAGTTAAAATCCCTTTTCTTAATTTTTGGCTTTCATTACATATATACTCTAGGATTTTTGTTATTTTCCTCTCAACGAACACTAGTATTCTACTGCTTGACGATATCATTCAATTATGTTCACCATTTTCCCTCTTACAACTACATATCCTGCCCCCTTTAAAAAAAGTACCATATGTATACATATATATATATATATATATTTTTGTCAACGCTTTGACTCCTTTATCCATATTCATTTTTTCCATTTCTGCTCTCTACGACTTTAATCTTTACAATTTTATGCGTACCAATTCCATTTTATCTCGTAATTCCAGATATGATTTAATGGCTGGCGTCACACGTGCCGAGGCATTCTTTTCCTTTAACTCCGGTGACGTTCAATATGGCATCGAAGCTGACAGACGGTCGAAAATCTTAAAGGCCTACGTGCGGAACACCTACACGTATCATTTGAATGAAATTTTTGCCACCATCGTTAATGAGTACACCGATTGGGAGAGGCCCGTCCAGCATCCAATTAATATCAGGTAAATTCCCAATAAAAAAAAACAAAAAAAAAATAAAATAATAAAAAACAACAAGCGAAACAGAGTGAAAAGAAACATTCAACGAATTGTGCTCCCCCTTTTTCAATAAAAACAGCAGTCCCTGTGTAAAGAAGGGAGCCAATTGAAAATCCCTATGAAAATTTATACAATTTATTTGCATTTGACCAAAAATGAATGTCGCACAAAATGCGCCATGTCAACACACAAACGCCCAACTGCATACTGCACATGCAAACAATTTCCAATTAAATACAACTTTGTCTTAATAAAGAATTTGCACAATGGATTGAGTGTGCAGTGATGAGTTAAAAATTGGTAATATCTTCAGGATTTGCAGCAACAGCCTCAACACAACTAATGTTTGTTTAAAGATTTTATTTCTATAGTACGCAATGAAATAGCTAATATCGGAATACGATTTTCAAAATGTAATAATATCGAGTGGGATATGCGTATATAACATTTTGTGTAAGCATATCAATTGATGTGACTTTTCGAATATATCAATATATGAAATGTTAAAGGTGTAAATAACTTTTTAATTTCATCTAAACGACTTCCTGACTGGAACCACGGCAGATTCGCAGCTTAATTTCCTTCCACCCATTATTGTTTATTGTTTGTTAAAAATCGGCCACTGGTAAATGGTATAAAAACTAATATCTCGATTCGTGATTTTTTGCAATTGAGAGCTACATCAAACAGTTTTCCCATTGTGCATATATTCAAAGAGGATTTAAAAAAGTGAATTCAATTGAATTTTCGACACGTTCACATGTATTCGATTACCAATTACTTTGGTAGGAAATTCATTATTGTCATGCTGCATTCATCGTGAATTTTGAAATATGAACGAAACCTGACCGGAGGAGCGTATAAACAATAATTCAGCTCGCATTCCGGGAACTCATACGTGGGACTGTACACACAACAAACCAAATAATAATTTAAAATTGAAATTAAAAATGAATTCAATTCTTAACATTCCAACACCCATCCATCATTATTATTTTATTTTGCATATGTATACAAAATATGTCTCAGCTTTTGGTTATTTGTGTGTGTGTATGTGTATATTCTAAGAATACGATATACCCGAGAAAGCAAATGTTGTTTTGGTATTCATGGCCACAGGTAATGTGTGTAGTAAGGCGTCGAAAGCGAAGACGGTTACACAATAAATAATAATAATTGGATTTTTTTTCTTGCGTTTATTTTTCGCAAGTTCAAAATAATGATGTATACAATTTTTGGTTGACATGATGTAACATATTTGTTCCTCTGGCAGACATGCCATTGAAACATTTATTGAGGATATCCTTGTAGACGTTAAAATCTGAATAAAATCTGATGAATAAAAATTGAAAACTAAATCTTATTTTCTTATAATAAACTGACTTCCGTTGGCATAAAATCGTGTAAAATGTGCAAGATTTGTCGGGCAACATAACCATTAGAAAATAATTAGTTTTTCAAACTAAATTAAAAAAGTTAAATTTATGGCTGCGTCAGTACTAAGATTAAATTTTCGGGATTTATAGCTGAAAAAAAGAAAAATTGTGCCACTCCCTTTAATAATTTGTTGGAATAAAATAGAACTACAAATGACAGACACTAAAAAATTGTTCGCCATAACACATTTATAATATACCATGTAAAAATGATTTGTTATAATGAGAAATAACTGATATAAATAGTAGACTAACATCTAACTTCATATAATAGCCCCTTAGGAGTGTTATCCCTTGTTACCTCCTTACCATACACATCACATGTTTTAGCAAAAAAACCCAATGTACACTAAAACATTTGTCAAATGACTAGAAAGAAAGAAAACTGTCAAATGTAACCGAACAATAAAAAATAGGTATAGCTTCCAAAAATTCTCTTGACCTTTTTTCCTTTATACCATGTAGAAGGAAAAACATCCTTGAAAAATATTTCTTATTACCTTTTTCTTTTACATTTTGATTGATTTGCAAAGTATGTAAATCCGTAACAATATATGCATAAATGTATGTAACAGATAAATATTCATGAATAAGGAAATATGTTTTCTGGAATTTGAGAACATTGTAGATTAGTTCTTAAGGGTAAAATCGACACATTAATATAAAGGTGTTTTGAATGTAGGAAAATACACAAAAGTCTAGAAATGTATTTTATTAAATTATCATGTTACCGCGTTCTTTAATGTAAAGGTACTCACCGGATATATAGTCTGATCAAACTTTATTGTTGAAATATATTTCTACCATACCAGATCATTTCGGATATATTCAGATTATTTGTTTACAGCATATTATTAAAAAATGAGGCTAGCCACCAGCTTATTACTTGTATAATAAATTCTTTTCTTCATTCCACATTAAATTTATCATTGTTTAGGTTTTTGTTTTATTCAAAAATAAATAAATATTTATTTACCACTAAAATTTAGGTCTCTACATAATCCTCCCTAAAAAGTATTGATGTGCCATATTCCATTTTTGTTGCCAACTTGATTGAAATTACTTCCACCATCAATAAAAAATGTATAACCAATATCCTATTGTTTCCTAAATGTGACATTTTTTTCATTTGTGTAACCAGCAATGTTTGAATTGATAAAATCACTATCAAAAAAGGATACTTTCATCACACATGCATATATATGCTCGTAAAAAACCCTCAAATCATTCAAACAAATTTTCAATGCGAGCAATCAATTCAATATTTCATCAACATCCACATATACCCACACACACATTTACACAAACATCATAGAATTTTTAAAAAGCTAAAAACGATAACAATTGTGGTAGTTCTAACAATAAGTGTGTGTGATGGCAGCAAAAAAAAACTTTGCGTTAACAATTTCCCACAAATTACACATTTTACACACGATTTTCAAATTCAACCACAACAAAAGTGAGGAAAAATCTGAACAAAGTTATTTTTTTCTTTTCGCCACCCCCGAGATTTTATAATACAACAATAACAATACAATACACCAACTGTATGGCTTTCAACACCTGAATAAAATAAACTGGATATCCTCCAGTGGGGTAAATGACAGACCAAAAAATACACACACACACACACACCACGTATTCAATATTGTTTTTATTGTCCTAGTTCGTAATGGTGTTAACAGCTCTACTCGCCCTTAATGTCAACACAAACTAAATTGGGGTGGTCCTTGTATCAATAGCTGATTTATTCACACCGACAACCGGAAGTTTGACAAAACACAGCCATACACACCTTAACGTTTCCTCAATCATGCTTATAGCATGTATATATACAAATATATATTTATTATACACACATCACACATCTATTTGTTAGCAGATAATACCATGCAATATGAAAAGAAAACAACGTCCGGATAAAATACAAATACACATTGTCTGCTATAGAAAATTATTTTTATAAATCAAATGGATGTTGTGAAAGGCAAATAAAACATCTTGCTGTATTCGAAGAATGATGATTTTTTTTTAAATTATATGTTATGTTAGTTGCTGAAGGTGGAGTAACGGATGTGGAGAAATTATTAAACCTATAAAATTATAATACTGTCAGGTTTTATCAGACAGGAAATTAAACGATTGACGTAAAATATTAGAATTCGATATTTTTGGGGAAAACACTATTTCACATGACTATTAGAAGAGTTTTTACAGTTTTTACAGTAATAGAGAGTCTGTCCTAATAATTATCAGTTCAAGCTATGATATAAATTCTTTTGTATATCAAAATCCTTCCGAAAATTTTTCCAAGTTGTTAAGTAAGACAGGGCAAATTGCTGGTTTTTTAAAAGTGGTATTAACATTTTTGGTGTTCCTTTAAAAGGACGGTGGTGCCAAGTGAGTTAATAGTAACATTCAATGATTTGTAGGCGTTGTTTGTTTGTAAGACGATTCATGGTTAAATTATAGAAAAAACTCATCACTCAACTCAAAGCAAAATTTCTAAATTTGATCGAACCTGTCTAAAGAAAAAGAATACGATTTTATGTGCTAGTAAATGTTTTAGCGGAAATATCAAATTACAATAATTAGCTAGGGTCTTATATGACACATATATTAAAATATGTTCCTATATTAAACAATATTTGCAATCAGCTTATATCTGCCCCCTTTATTCAAAGCAAATCGTTTATAAATTTTATACTCTTGTCCATTAAATTTCACCTACAGTATATTCAAAATTCTCCTTCGTTAATTTTCAGTATACGCAAATATATAAATGCCTAAGTGATTGTTAATAAAATTCATTTCATTTTCCAATTTCGTTTTCGTTTTTTTTTTCTGGCAAATTGTAAAACAAGTTAGCAATTTTTTATTTGACCATAGTAAATTGATTTTAATATTATTTTCATATTTGGACCATTTGTAAACAGATTTTAATTTGAATGTCATATCAGATGCAAACACCATGAATAACACTGATGACTGATTGCTCAATTTTTTGAGAAATAATTTAATACAAATTCAATTTGTTGTTGATAATAAAATTTCCCAGTAACTTTGGCTGAACGGGCAAAACCCAAAACCAGCGGTAACCCCGAAAGGCCGCAATATAGAGAGAGATAGATAGATAGATGAATTGCTTAATTAGCGTTCATGTGGAAACATGCAACACAGTGGAATATTATACAGTAATAATAAAATAGGTTTTTGTTTCTTGGAAAAATTAGAAATTCCCACTCTAGCAAAAACATTATTGTTTAATGAAAACAGTGAGTGGAGGTTTACATAAATTACGCACAAATATATTCAAAACATTCAAAACTGTGAATATTTGGTTGGAATATTTATGACTGACAATATAATATTGTCATACATAAATATTAGCATTTATTACATTATTTGCATTTGACAAATCGCCCAGTGTTTTTATTGAAAACTCATTTCATATGTGGTTTTTTATTATTATTATTCTAAAGCCATACTGAAAATAAAACATAAAAGTCATTTGGTTTTTGTCTATCGTAACTGAGACTACAAACAAATTGCAAATAAATTATTTTTCAATTAAACGTAACGAATATTTAATATAAAGTAAATATTTCCATAAATGCACACACACACACATTTAGGTATGCATTAGGTTCCACAAGCTGCGGTTTGTGATGAATTCAGTCAAACTCACACACATGCACCCCCAATTTTCTCCATGAAAATTACCATTCGACTAATTACCATGTTTTGTATTGCCTTGTTTTTTCCTTTTGCCCTCCACAGAGATGAAACACTCGAGGCATTGAGCGACGCCCAGGTGGTTGCTCCCGCTGCTCAAACTGTTGATTTGCACTCTGCCGACCATCGGAATTCCTATTTGTATGTGTTTGACTACCAAACACGTTATGGCGATTATCCTCAGGTGAGTTCACAGTTCCATCAAAACAAAACAGTTCACGAGAAAATCCCAATTCAGCATTTGAGAAAAAAACCCGACAACAACAAAAGTAATCATCTTCCAAATACCCAATGTTAATATGTTGTTTTCTTTGTTTTTCATTGTGTTGTTGTGTCTGCGTAGCGTCAAGGCTGTATACATGGTGAGGATTTGCCGTACATATTCGGTGCACCTCTGGTAGGAGGATTCAATCATTTCACTCGCAATTATACCAAAACCGAAGTAAGCCTCTCCGAAATCGTTATGCTGTACTGGTCTAATTTTGTTAGGACGGGGTAAGTTTCATTTGAATAGTCAATTCTCCCTTCACTTAGGCCGATAAAATTCCTTATGATTCCATCAATATTGATCGACTTTATTGCAATTGTCTTCTGCTTTCCATAGAAACCCCAATGAACAAATGGAAAGTGACCATGGCAGCCGTCAGGAGCGCAGTCGTTACAAGACCATCGATTGGACAGCTTATGAAAGTGTACATAAGAAGTATTTGAATTTTGGTAAGTACCCTATTGACTTTGACCAGTTACGCACATCATACATTTCTAATGAATCTGGTCGTCAACATTGACTTTTAATACCTTATCGTTACTTGTTCGTTTCTTTCGCTTAGACACAAAACCGAAATTGAAAAATCACTATCGTGCTCATCGTTTGTCCTTTTGGCTTAACCTCATACCGGACCTACACAAGCCGGGTGGCGATAATGTGCCACCCTCACATCATCAACTTAGCGACGATGATGACATGGACAATAACATTGCCGGCGAGGCAGCCGTTAAGCCCTTGAATCCACCCTACTCGCCCAGTATTGGAAATGCCGCCCTGGGAAATTTTAGCATATTCACCAATCAAGTGTTCTCCCTGCTTAATCTAAGTTCACCTTCGTCGTCACTACAACGCAATGGTACTAGGTATGCCGGTGGTAAACTTTATCCCGAAGATATGATGGATGGAGATGGCCATGGGGGCAGTCAGGCCTCACAAGAAAGTGATGGATTTGCTGCCTACTCCACGGCCTTAAGTGTCACCATTGCCATCGGCTGCAGTTTGCTTATACTGAATGTTCTTATATTTGCCGGAGTCTATTATCAGCGTGATAAGACACGTTTAAATGAACCACGCTCGCAGAGTAAACTGAAGCGCCAAGAAAGTGGACAAATGCCCAATAATATTTGCGGCGATTTGGAGACCCTAACCATTCACACGAAGAGTGATCCTGCCACCATTCTCTCGCATCACCATGCCCTGCAGCATCATCAACTACCACCGCCAGAATTTGCCGATCTCCCACATCGGGCACCACCACCGCCAAAACACCTGAAGTCTATGCAGCAGGATCCCGGAGGGGGTGGGAATGTTGGAATGGGCAACAATACGAATGCACAAAGTGCCACAATAATGGGTCTTCTGCCACCGCATGCCTTACAAGTCATGGGTAATCAATGTGGGACATTAACCAAAAAGAGTTGTATGAAACAATCCTCAATGCAGCAGCAACAACAGCAGCAGCAACAACAACAGCAGCAACAGCAACAAGTACAACAGAACCAACAACAGATGATTGTGACACATCAACATCAGCTGCAAAATGCTCATAATCAAACAATGACCACAGCGCTGACGGGAGGTGGAATGGGTGGCCCAGGGTCGGGAAATGGTCCTCCACCAGCTCCGCCCACAGTAACCGTGACAACAGCCCAATCGATGCAACAACATCCCTTGGCCCAGTCCCAACCTCATCCCCTAATGGATGAGTTAAGAGTGTGACATTAATTAACCGTACGTTTCAAGTGTGATCTCTAAGGGCTATCCTAATGACCTCGTTCAAATATCTTTCCCAAAACTTATCTCGTCTCATCCCTCTCTTCCCTGTCCCGCCCCTTCCCGCAAGAGATTACATGGTGTTGCGTGCGTTCAACTGTGACATGGCCACACAAGAAGGTATGAATAGTTACAGCAAATGAAAAAGTCTTGATCTTAGAACAAGCCAAACAAGAACGAAATTAAAAACCTAGAACAAATTAAATTGAAGGCATCTTCTTAAATGTTATACTATTTTTTCAGTTGTTTTTATCATTAAACTATGGGGAAAATATCAACATTTTCCGCAAAGTTTTGTTAATGTTTTCTATGATTGATCGATTGATACTGTTGTTTGTTTCATCTATAGTCAAATCCGTGTATATAGTTATCAATGATACAAAAAACCAAAAGAAATATTTATTCTAGTTTAACTGGCAACATTTAGTTCTCAACTATCCATAAATGTAAGTAAGTGTTAGTTAATTACTATAAATGAAACGAAAGAAAATAAAATATACATATATAAATGAAGAAGAAGAATTTCCTTTTTGCCATTAGGACCAAAAGTAACAGAATATATTGAAAATTTTGATAAAAAAATGTTTAATTTGTTTTTTATTATATTAAATATTTTTTTCTATACTCTTTGTTATGTCTATAATGTTTTACTATTATTATTATAAACGAGCCAATGCAAATATTTATATAACAATATCTGAATAATTTGTTTTCAACTATTTTTTGAGCTTCATTTATTTGTTTATGTTAACCCCAACCTTCTTCCCTTAAAATGTCAGACTTATTTAAAAATTTTTGTTTATATACGTTTTATTCATTCAGTAGTTTAATTTTAATGCTTTATCAACTCTTTTAAAACTACATTTTATATAATTTGTTATATTATTTTTTAATTACTAATTAAATGTTGTTCTTCCAAAGACTGAATTATCATGTATGTAAATTATTATATATAAAAAAGAAACAAAAAAAAACTACTATAGGAGCCACAAACCAAAAACAAATACCGAAGCCCCTAAAAACAAAAATAAACACAAAAACAGATTCTAAATTAAAATCTAACATTTTAACTGTATTAACAAAAACAAAACGCACATTCATATACACATAGACAAATATCTAATATATACATGAAATAACAAACGAAAAAAAAGAACATAACTAACTACTGTACAAAGATAACAAAAATTACAGCAACAAATGTGTAAACAATATTCCCTGTTTAACCGGAAAAGGAAATAAACAAAAACCGAAACAGTACTACAACAACAAAATTAGTGTATTTGTTAATTAAGTTATAAATATTGAAAAGTAAATACACATTTGCGAAACGTATAACGTAAAACTATTAAGTGAATAAAGTTCATGAAGGAAAAAAACTCCCCCATTTGAAAAACATTTACCCCACACACACACACACCCTCACACATGGTAACACGTACAACATTAACACTCACATTTACACATAGCAATACATACACCTCTCTATACATATATATACCACATAGTTAATTTGTAATGAAATTAAATATTTATAAACAAGCATAGCAGCAAAACATTTAGTTGGATAATTTCCAAAGTAAATAAACAATTTGTAAGTCATTAAACAGAAAAAAACAACAACAGTAAAAAAACAAGAGTGGAAAAAGGGAAAATTCATGTATTCAATGATGAGACATGTCTCACTTACATAAACCGACATTAGTATAAGTAGTCAATAGATTATCATGTAAAATTATTTGGGAAAATAACTTTAATTTTCACAAATCCACTCTCCATACATCAACTGTGTATTTATATAATAACTCTAAAATCAAATCAAACCGAAATCAGCATTCATGCATTCACATTCACTAACATAAATACGTACATATGTATTTTAGAATGTAATATGTAACATTAAAGTTTAACAAATAAATCAAAAAAATTAATAACAAAAATAATATTTAAGTAAATTAAAATTATAAACAAAAACAACTCTATACATAGGCCATTACAACCGGAAATAGGAAAATCTACCAAAACCAACAATTACAGTTGAATGTAATAATAAAAAAATGAGTAAATTAAAATATGCAAACAAAAAATTATAATACATTTTTTGAGGTAAACATGTTAAAAAGTTTTAGAGATTACGATATCTTATTAAAAAATAAATAACTACAAAAAATGCATATGTAAAAAAACCCCAACCAAAAACACGAGATAACACTTCATAATAAATATTATTAACTATAATTCAATTGTGGTATACTGAAATGAAAAACCAAAAACAAAAAAGTGAAAAAAACAACTAATTCTATAAGTAAACCTATATACGAAAGAAATGAAATAAAAATTAAAGTATAATACAAAAAAACGAGTGACTAGTTTTTATTAAAAATTACGGTGTTTTGAATATATTTTAGATTTTTAGGTATATATAGGCCCCAATGGTAAGTAGTTTACAAAATACAAGAAATCAACTTAACCCTTTCACGAAACATAGCACACTTCATTATAGACTAAATTCAGTACGTTGCGAAAAATTTCGTTCAAATCAAAATATATATAGGGACTTTGATGCTCCATTTCTATTAAATCGGACGAATATATATATGGGAGTAATCTCTTAATCTGAACCGATTTTCACGAAACTTAGCACACATCATTCTAGACTTAATTTAGTACGCTATGCCAAATTTCGTGCAAATTGAGATATATGTGGGGATATTGTTGCACCATTTTCATTAAATCGGACGAAAATATATGTGGGAGCTATATCTAAATCCAAACCGATTTTTACAAAACTTAGCATACATCATTTTGGTCCTACTTCCCTACGCTGTACCAAATTTCGTGAAAATCGAAAGATATATAGGAAATTTGGTGCCCCATTTACATTAAATCGGACGAATCACTATATGGAGCTATATCGAAATCTGAATCGATTTTTCCCAATTTCAATAGGGTCCGTCCTTGTGCAAAAAAATGAGCTGTGCCAAATTTCAATGAATTTGGATCATAAATGCGACCTGTACTTTTTTTGCAATTTAATATGCACAGACGGACGGACATTTATAAATCGACTCAAAAAAGGATTCTAGCCATATTATCGTTCCTTTTGATAATGGGTCTATCTCGTTTCCTTTTTGCCGTTACAACATATGCACAAATACATAATACACTGTACCACAGTGGGGTGAAGGGTATTTCATTTTCATAGCCTAGACAACTATGTTGTAAGGCAACATATTGGTCCTAGACCCTCCTTTCAATATATCGATATCGACTACCTGAATCGATCTAGACACAAGTGCCACATACAGGCCACAGTTGCAGACAGCTCCCCACGAAATTTTGCATGTTCATTCGGTTCGGCTCAAAGAAGACCGCTATTTTAAGTAATGATCGGTTTATATTTAGCGTAGGAAATGAACCATAGACCCAATGGACACAGACTTTTGTTTGAAAAATTACAAATTTTGCATTTACACATGAAGGTCATAGACTGGAGAATTTGACAGTATATACAAGAGGTGTGGTTTGTAGTATCATATAATTGGCCCCGTTCCCTCTACCCCCTTACCATACTAGTTTCGTTTCAAAGTTGCCTTCCACTGGCTGTGACTTGTCAACAAATTACTCGATTGACACAAAACAGATGAAGGGCAAATACTTGAATTTGTTATGAAAACGCCAGTGTATTTTTAAAACTTAGTTCAAGTGATGATTTCAAAAAATAACTTTCTAAATATATTTTTAATTACATCATTTCATATTCTTGAAAATACGTATACATTTTGAAATAGCACAAAAGCCATTTCATTTTCGCCATTTTAATCTACTGCATCAATAGATGGCGCTGCGATCGCCTAACCGTCAGGTCGTTAGGGAAAATCAAGGTATTGGTAAAATTGTCATAACTTTCAAATGGGCTAAAATAATTTGAAAAATCGAGCGGTTATTTAAAGTTTAAAGGATCCTTTATTCCTTTATAAAAGTATTCTTTATTCCTTTAATTTTCTAGATATTGTACATTATTGATGACCTTAAATAATTTTTAAATAAATTAATTCAATCATAATTATTTTTCAATTTTTAATATCTATTATTTTCATTTTTTTATATTTTGTTCGTAGTCTCCATATTTAGCATTCAATGAAATATTTCATGTCTGCAATTCTAGTCTTAAATGGAAATCATACGATTTATATGTGTCACATCCCTTTTGGGGGGTTGGTCGTCATTATAACTAAATATGGATGCTTAGCCACAGAGCATAAATATAAACTCTGTCTCATTATATGAAATTGATTTGAATGCATAATATCAACTATGTCAGGATTATTCAAAGCCATGCTAACCAAATATTAAAATTTGACAAAATTTGCAATTTTCAAACTAAATATGTATAAATGTAAATACATGCGGTTGTTTCACAAAAAATGTTTAATAAGAGTTGAATTAATGTAAAATAAATAGGCATATGGTCCATTATGGCTAAATATAACTTGTTTTGATACTGCAACTTCGAGATGCGATTCCTATCCGTAAACTAATACGATCGATACTGATTCCATAAACTTACCAATAATCCCAAATTTGAATGGTTCCCAATTTCATAAATTTTAATTCGTAAAATCTTGCCTAATATCCTCCCTAATAATCATTCTCGTAACACATCACAACACAATGCCAAATCATACGATGAGGCTCTGCTGGTCATTCATCTATTATGAAATCAATGGAAATTCCATTCTAATTTCCACACATTCACTTTCATGGGGAGAACAGTTGAGAAAAGTGCCCTTGCAGTTACAATTGCTGACAACACAAATGATAATGTTGTTGCTGCTGCTGCTTTCGTTGCTATAACTCTGACCAGCAATGCCACACAAAATTTGACATAAATCTAAGGACAGCCATGATGTGTAATCAGGCATATATAGCTGGGTATATAATTTAAAATATTTACGATGCAAATTTGTATGGCCAAGCCATTCAATTGATGCAAGCC